ACAGGAAATTATTTAAACAATGTCAAGAATTTTGATATCTTCATGTTTTTATCACTTAAACTGAGTAGAAACAAATAAACAGTTTTATTTCAAAAGTCAATTTTATTGAAAATTATCTAAATTTTTAATTACTTTATGATCATTTTAACCGATCCGACTTTTTGATGGCCTGATTCCTCATGGAATGACTTTTACGGAAAACAGATTATTATTCTAATCTCAAACAGTCTTTTAATTAAAAAATTTTATTTATTAATTTCTGTTATAATAAAAAATGTATCAAAATTTCACTTTTTTGTGGATTCTTTTAGTATGGCAATTATCTTTTTTTTTTATAAAACAATAAAAATAAACAAAATAAATAAAGTGAACGGCGAAAAAGAGTCGATGCATAATACATTTAATTAAAGATAATAGTCATAGATACATAAAATAAGAAGAAGTAGAACGGCGTATATTAATATGTATATAAAACAATTACAAGTTTCGGCTGCTGGATTGAGCCCTCCTCAGATGTAAAATAAAATGAATATAATAAAAAAAGTAATAAAAGACTACGTAAAAAAAAAAAAAATAATAAATAAATAAAGTTCAGTGTCGCAACATTTTTAACGCGCGGAAATCAGCAATTATGATGGATCTCGACGTGTAGTCTAATGTTGTATATGCGATAGTGTAGTCAAAACGATGTTAAGATACATAGTCAAGTGCTAATTGAAAAACCGGAAAAGGAAAGGAACTCATAAGAAAAAAGCAAACTTAAAAACTAGACACGCCGCAGTTAAGAAGTAAAGTGCTCACTCACCAACACACCCGAACAAGCAAATGAGAACCACTGTAATGTATAACAGGTGTGAAAACGCATGGCGATGATAAGGTTGTAATCGTCGAAGTCGGACATGTCAACGTCGCACGTGACACCGATCGCTCGCTAAAACGAAATGTGACGCACTGAGAGAGGAGACGGGTCGACAGGATCGAGAGTCAGACTTTGTTTATTATCGGCAAATGTGCCTTATTAAGACCTTCGGTGTCGGTCTGTAAATTAAGACTGTTCCTCTGTTTCTTAATATGTAGCATCTCCGAAATCAAACGCTTTCTATATGAAGGCTCTTCGTCTAAGATTAGAACATTGTCCCATTGGAAATCATGATTGTGACGCAACCTATGATCGGTGATGACAGAGCGGGCAGAAGATTTATGTCTAATATGATTGCGATGTTCGGCAATTCTGGTTTTTAATTGCCTGCCCGTCTGTCCAACATAAGAAGCGTCACAATCATTGCACAAAATTTTATAAACAACATTGCTTTTCGATGTACGGGGACAAGTGTCCTTCTGGATTCTTATATATTTGTCCATTTTGTTAGGGCTGTGGAAGGCCACCCTGATATCACTTTTGCTTTTATTCAAAGCTCTAAGTTTCTCCGTATGAAGCGGAATGAAATTCTTATTTTATGTATCTATGACTATATTATCTTTAATTAAATGTATTATGCGTCGACTCTTTTTCGCCGTTCACTTTGTTTATTTTGTTTATACATAAAGAGTCTTTACACCGTTATTTTAATAAAAATAAATTTTCCGATTTAAAAAATTCTGAAAATATTGGTTCATGGGGAATCTAGTCACAAAAATTTCGAACCAACAAGCACATATTATATTTAAAAATGTGATGATAACTATTCATATGTTGAAAAATAGAATATTAATGAATACTTACCGAATTTATTTATAATTAATTTCTACTTACCCACTAAACGAGAATGGATTAAAATGGATTACAATTTTTTAATGCATGAAAATGGATTGAATGGATTGAAATGGATTGGATACGACTTGACACTAATTTAATATTCGAAAAAAAAACTTTAATTTAAGGGTTACAAATTTTATTCCTAAGACATTTCTAATAATGAAATTATATAGATATAATAAAAATATCATTTAACAGATATAATAAAATATAAACAATTTACATTACTATGAGACAACATAGTAAGTGTAAGGGTAAGTCGAATAATCTAATCTCGTTTGGCCCATGTGTTGGCACCGTGATCAGCGTAATATTCAGGTTGTGTTTGACTTGGTTTGCGAGTGTTCACATCGATCATTTTACTTCTAATCAAAGAGAAACAAAAGAATATAGCTTAATTTATTAGTTTATTTTTACGTTACGCTTTTTTGAACTGAATTGGATTAAAACGAAAAATTTCCTACTTATAATTTTGAATAATTTAAGTAGCATTTATGGTCCATTTTTAAATAAAAACTTTTTTATTCAATTAGATTGAAAAACTGCATTTCATATTCAGAATATTGAATTGAGTAGCAGTAGTCACGTTGCACAGGCTGATATTATTTTTAAATTTAACTGAATTAAAAAAATTGTACTTCTTTACAATTTTGAATTGAGTAGTATTCGAAAAGATAATACAGAAAATGCTAATATTATTTTTAGATTGAAAGACATAAAGATATACTCTGTGCAATTCCTATAAATAAATAAAAATGCATTCAGGATTGAAAAGTCATAGACATTTGCTTCATGAAATTCCTATAAATGAATAAAAATGCATTCAGGATTGAAAAAGATTCATTTTAACATTCATGAATCCGTATTTTCGAAAATGGATCTGAATCCATTTCAATTTATTCTCGTTTGTGTTACATATTAGGTTTATTCATTTTAGCTAAACTTCTTTCACAGTTCATCTTTTTTCCTCTCTAACATGAAAAGACAAAGCGAAAAGATGAATTGTGTAAGAATTTTAATTCAGACCAGGCGTACTATTTCCATAAAAACGCTCAAAAAGTTCATTTTTATCAATTTTTTATATTTTTTAATGTAATTGTCTATGGAATATCGATGAATTTATTAAAGAGGGTTTTATCTTTGCCGACCGTAAAATTAGCTCAGTTTCATGAATTAAAAAAAAAGTTTATTATAAACAGAACAATATAGGGTTTTGCATAAAATTATGTTATGTTTAAACAAAATATTTTTTAATTACTATAGATGAATATGCATTTTAATGTCTCCAAATGGCGATCGAATTAGGGATCATCTGCAAAACACGTCTTCATGACGGAAGTACTCTGCAAAGCATCTGAAATCAAAATTCTTTTCATTTTTATTAATTATATGAGTGTCGTTATGGCATGAATTAAAATAATATCAATTGCCTGAAATTTGTAAAAAGAGTGACATAAAAAAAAATTAATTTTTTTTCTTAATAATTTGTTACTTTTTTGTGGGTAATAAATCGAATGTTTGTTGTAAAATCATGATTATAGTTCGTGCCATGTGCAAAAGTATTAGGATTAAGAGGAGAAAAGAATTAAATCGATATCTTAATCCATTTTTTTAGATATCAGTTCCGTCAGGTTAAAAAATGTAGAAATTTTTTTTTTAGAAAAACGCGTTTAAAGTTTTAGTTTGATTTTTTTCAAATAATAAGTTTTAGTGCACTTACGATTATTCTACAATACTTAAATAAGGAAAAAAAAATTTTCGATTTTTTTACTCCTGCAAAGGTGAAATCCCGTTTAATCGATTTTTGGATAATCAATTATTTTTTTCAATATCACCCATCCCTATTTACAGCTATGTACATATGTTCGGTCTTCACTGTCTTGTAATATATACCATGGTATATAACATTATCTATACATTCATTCCTGTCAAGAGCAACGGTGATGTTCCCTTTATCTACTCTAGTAAAGATGATACTACACTGATAGAAAGATGTTCTAAATTTTAATAAATAATTGTTTGAATAGTACTAACATAACATTTATTTAAAGAAAATAAATATTTGCTAAATAAAATATAATAATAGGTAAATCAAATTAATAGTTCTTGGACCAAATAAATATATGTTTACATTTAGTAAATATTCAATTGGTATTATACTAGTGATTGTTTTTGGTAAAAGATTAGTAAATTTTATTAAGTATGATAATCTGTAATTGATTGAATTTTTTATATGTGAAAAGAAAACCACATTTTCAATAATTGGTAAATATAGAACGATTCCTAGTTCTAGTTGTTAGTGTCTTAGATGTATCGGTAATTTGTTAATACTATTTTTGATGTTTTTTTATAAATTTGTAGCGACACGTACGCGCGGCGTCGCCCTCAGATATATTTTTTTTATCAAAAGAATAACAAACAATTAATATACGTATATTATGTTTTCTAATATTTTTTAAATCGTTTTTTAATTGTTAGATGTTTACAAGTTAAAATAATTATATCGCCCATGTGAACGTCAGAGACATCCTTTTCACTCATTCAACTGAATTGCATATTGTCAACATATGTACACATCTTTCTTCCAGCTTTTCGAAATATGGAACCTTGTTGTACAATACAACACATGCGACTAATACCTATACCCATTCAGGATTCTATAAGCCAAGCAACGATCTGAGAAGTCAGTCCTTTTTTACTCGTCGACGCGAATGCACCACGCTTTCGACTTCTGTCTAACAAATAAAGTACAAGTGTCCGCACCAACCGAGTCACAGTTAATACCGAACTATTTCCTTACCCACATAATTGGTGACCCCGACGTGATCTCGCATGCGTATATCGCGTTTTCCGTAAAGTGCAGTGTGAGTAATTGTGTAAGTACACCGAAAAATTATAAGAACTGACGTTGAGACCCAACCATAGCCCTGCTATCATGGATAAAGAAAGCTCTGCCGCATCGATCGGCCGAGTGGCGATCAAGATTCCGCCGTTCTGGGCTCGCGATCCCGAACTGTGGTTCCGCCAGGTGGAGAGTCAATTTGCGCTCTCGGGAATCACAAACGACGATACAAAATTCCATTACGTCACGGGCAACCTCGATGCCCGATACGCCGAGGACATCCGCGATATATTGGTCGATCCACCCGAGACCGGAAAGTACTAGTTACTTAAAACGGAGCTCTTGCGCCGGCTCGGGACCTCACAGGAGAAAAAGACACGGCATTTACTCGAACAAGAGGAGATGGGAGACCGAAAGCCGTCCCAGTTCCTTCGCCACCTGCGTGGGCTGGCGGGCACCGCCGTCCCGGACGGGTTGCTCAAAACCATCTGGCTAGGGCGAATTCCAGCGTCCATGCGGGTCAGCCTGGTAACCCAGACGGAAGCCGGTTTGGATAAGATGGCTGAGCTCGCCGACGCCGTCAGCGACGCCTTGCCTGAAAGGCACCATGTCGCGGCCGTATCGACGGACTCGTTCGAGACGATGCTCGAGCGATTGATCATTCATATCACCGCCAAAATGGGGGAGTTGGCGAATGGACTTCGTCAAGAGATCGCGGCGGTAGAAGACCGCGCGTCGGCTCGCGGTAGCCGATCGCGGGAGCGGCGTTCACCGTCCAGGCAGCGCGCGCGCAGCCGCGGTCGCGGCAAGAACGGCGTCTGCTGGTACCACTGGCGGTTTGGTGCTGACGCGATAAGATGCGAACCGCCGTTCAACTTCCGTTCGGGAAACGATCAGGGCGGTCACTAATGGAGGCAAGCGACCTGAGCCTTACGTCCCTCCGCTTGTTCGTCACGGACAGAAACTCCAAGAAGGGATTTTTAGTTGATACCGGCGCCGATCTCTGCGTTTACCCACGAACATTTCTACGCGGGCCGCGGGAGAAGTCAACATACGAGCTCACGGCGGCGAACAACAGCGTCATCGCGACTTATGGGACGATCACAATTACGCTCGACTTCGGGTTACGCCAGGCCTACACGTGGAGATTCGTCGTCGCCGACGTGCCTAAACCAATCATCGGAGCGGATTTCCTGGCGTTCTATGGTTTGCTCGTCGACGTTCGTGGCCGCCGCCTAGTGGATCAGCTGACTTCGTTGACTGCCAAAGGTCACGTCGCAAAGGGTAACATCCCCAGCGTTAAAACCATTGCTGGAACGTCGATCTATCACGAGCAGTTACAGAAGTTTTCTGAAATCACGCGCCCGGGCGGCGCCCCTGCGGAGCCGAAACATTCGACCCAACATCACATCCGAACGACACCAGGTCCTCCCGTGGCAAATAAGCCAAGACGTTTGCCGACGGAGAAACTGCGCGCGGCCAGAAAGGAATTCGAGACCATGATCCAGTTTGGGACAGCGCGACCATCGGAAAGCTGCTGGGCATCACCACTGCACATGGTCCCGAAGAAAGCCAGCGACGAATGGCGTCCGTGTGGAGATTACCGCGCCCTCAACGCAAGGACCTTGCCAGACCGATACCTCGTCCGACACATAGAGGACTTCGCGCAGTCCTTACGAGGTAAAAGTATCTTTTCAACCATAGATCTTTCAACCATAGTTTGGGCGTACAACCAGATCCCCGTCGCACCGGAGGACATAAAAAAAACGGCTATAACGACACCGTTCGGATTATTCGAATTTCCGTTCATGTCGTTTGGCCTGCGCAACGCTGCGCAAACCTTCCAGCGGTTCATCGACGAAGTCCTCCGAGGTCTGGATTTCTGTTACGCGTACATAGACGACATACTCGTCGCATCGACTTCCGAACGCGAGCACCTGCAGCACCTGGAGATCGTGTACGAACGGTTAAGGAAATTCGGGGTGGTTATCAACCAGACCAAGTGCGCGTTCGGGCAGGCGGAAGTTAAATTCCTTGGCTATCGAGTTTCCGCCGAGGGGATTCAGCCCTTGCTCGAGAAGGTCGAAGCCGTCCGAAGTTACCCGCAGCCGACGACGGCGAAACAGCTGCGACAGTTCCTGGGTATGTTGAACTTTTATAGGAGGTTCATACCCAGAGCGGCTTACCTTCAAGCACCATTGAATGACCTACTCCAGGGGAATATCAAGGGCAAGACCCCCATCGCCTGGACTACATCGACACAGGCCGC